TATTCCATGTTCTTCAAGAGTGGAAAGTTTCTTTCTACCACAGCTCATTCACCATTTAACTCCTGCTCTCTTTGCATGTCAGAAATGTTGCTTCTGTTTCCTTCTAAATCACCTATTGTGTGCCCCACAGTTTATTGCCAACATTAGTGGGTATGAGATGGACTTGCATCTTTGCAAGGTCATGCCTGTGGTAGTTTGGTTTCATGATAATATTCCAAACAATTCCATGAGAAGCTACAGTAGACAACTTAGATGCTGATTCAAACAAATTACCTGTTGTTGAGTGTTACTTAGTAGGAGTGTTTATGAGGTGTAATAAATTTGTAGCAGGCTGAAAGGGAAAAAACACAGGGGATATCAACAGAAAGTGTAGGAGACTATTTTGCAGGCTGGAAAGGAAATGACTCGGGATGCTTTGAAGAAAGTGAACTGTATAAATGAGGAAATGCTCAGGTGCAACTAGAGTGAAGTTCTGCCAAATGTTTTTTCGCTGTAGCTATTTTTTTCTATGTATACCTTTCTATGGGTATTCCATAGTCTAGAAACATCACAGAGGATATAAAATCTCCCACACAAGATGTTTTTGGACTTAAACTAGTGTTAGTTCTATTAATTGAAATGAATACTTGGAATTTTTTTCAAATACTTTTATTCTTTTTCCAAACTGCTAACGTGTTTTCCTTCTTGGGAAACATCCTCAAGCAAGATAAGGGAATTTCAAGGCACTAATCTATAGAACTAGTTTTAGCTGGAAGTGGAATATGTGGCTGATTCCTGCACCCAGTCCAAGATTTTGAGGGTTTTTTGGATCTCTCAAACTATACTTCAGATTGCAGAACCAGACCGGAGATTGAAATTTTCATCTTCTGTGTTAGTTGGCTTAAAATTTTACCAAGTGAAAGATAAGGTAATAAAAACATGCTAAAGAGACTTTGTCATGTGTTAATGATAAATTGCTGCTTTGTATTTAACATGACTTAACCTGGATATTTCAGTTCTCTATTTAGGTGCTGGGTTCCTGGGTTTAATTTACAGAATTTAGGTACTGGGTTCCTGTATGTCAGGTGAACATCTAGAGAGTAATAGAAAAGATTTTCTGACATCAAGAGGAAAAAAAGCAGTCTTTAGAAAAGGATAACTAGTAGACACAATACTGCTTCTGATATCCTTCAAATTTTCCCCAGCAGTTACTTCAAGTGACCTATTTGTCATGGAATTTTAGCTGAACTAGCTATTCTTCAAATCTTAAAAAAATAAGTAGATAAAAATTAATTGTGTGTTATCACCCCAGTAACTCTTATTTTGATTACCAAAACACCAAATACTTGGACAGCAGGTGTGATGTCTCTGTTTCACCTGATTGAAAAGACACAGTTCTTAAAATACCTGATTAATTCTATAGGCAGTCAAATTTCTGCTTTGACGTCCACAGCAGTCTGTATTTCAGCAAGGTGAAGGTAGATATGTTCCAGCTCAGCCTCTCTGGGATTCTTTCATGAATCATCTCTGCTTTCCTTAATACAATTCCTTTCTTCTTCCTCAGAGTAGGTCCAGCATATCATTAAATAAATGAGCTTCTCAGAAACAGCTAGCCAAGTGTTTTCCTTGAAATGAATAATTGGAAGAAGAGAATATAGTGGAAATGCTCTTCAAGAGCATTTCAAGAGAAAAAATGGTGTTTATGGCAGCCTAACCAGCTAGAATCACAGGAGAGCAGAAGATTCATGTTTGGAAGGGACCTCTGGAGGTCACTCGTCCAGCTCCTACTCAAGTAGGGTAATACAAAACCAATTTCCCAGGATCATGTCCAGATGGGCCAGCTGTAATTAATACCACACACACAGGGGAGCTGGATGTTTGGGGTTGACTGCTTAACATGTCTGGATTCTTGCTGGCAATACAGCTCCTGCACATAATTGTTTTGGACCTCTACGTAGTGTCAGATATCCCCCTTAAAAATAACTATTATTTTCACTTGATTTCTAATTTAAATGGTCAGCATAAGCTGGTCTCATTGGTCACATTACCTCCACTCCAACAGCTCTGGCTCTCTCCATGTCCAAAGCCAATTAACTGTTGTTATCTAAAAGTTACACAAATATAAACTAAGTTTGTTTGAACTGCCGTATTTCCTTTCTGTGCATATCTAAGCCCTCAGAGGTAAGGCAGAAGTAGTCCAGAGGTTTTGGATTCTCTGTTCTTGGTTATCTCAGGAAATAAAAGAATCATCTAAAGATGTGCTAATCTAAAGATGAGCAGATGAAATCTACATCCCACTTATCTGAGTAGTGCTTTTGGATGGGTTTTACTCCAAAATAAACAACTGAAAAGCTCAGATAGAAATTCACTGGAAAAATGTCCTTTTTTCAACCGGATGTTGCTATGGATGACCTTCCCCATGTAAAAACATTTAAAATTCAAATTTTGTAGATTAAATGGCAAGGACCAAATCATCCCTAAAGAAAGAATACGGAGTAATTTTCAACACCAATGTACTTAATGACAGTATCATTTCTATCACCTTACAGTTGTGTAATAAAAAGTGAGTTCATATTTGAGTAATAAAGAAGTATCTATACTTTACTGTTAAGTAACATTGAATTTTATCCAAAAAAAACATTGTTTCAAGTGCTAGTGGGAAAAAACTGAATCAGGGAAGCTAATTATACCAAGAATTCAAGTGATTCCTTTCAGTCAGCTTTTCCAGTTTAAAGCATATTTTCTAAGTTTTCACATTTTTTAACCTCTTAATTGTAGACAAACTTTGTCATCACAATACTGTTGCAGGATTTTTTTAAAAAATTATTCATTTTTAATAGAATTAAACAACGTTTGTATTTTGTATTTGTATTATACAACATGTATAATGTGAACATGATAAAAATAAGTATTTGTTTTTAAGTCCTTTCAGAGAAAGATGGGAGATATGGAATTAGGCCTTTCTCATAGAGTAAGCTTTGATTGTTTTGCAGCTGATTGTTTTGGGTTCAGAGAGCAGTTCGGGCCAGAAAGAAGCTTTAAAGATCATCTTCAAAGATCATCTAATCCTTCTGCCATGGACAGGAACAACTTTCATTACATGAGGTTGCTCAAAGCCCTATCCAACCAAATCTTGAATGTTTTCAGGGATGAGGCATCCGCACCTGTTTTGGGAAGCTTGTTCCCAGTGTCTCATCATCCTTATCATAAAAAATTTCTTCTCTATATCCAATATAAATTTACCTTCTTACTTTAAAACCATTGCTCCTTGTCCTTTCAGACTTTTTACCTGCCCTGGTAAAAAATCTCTAGTTTTCTTTTAAGTCACTTTTATGTATTGAAAGGCCGTAATAAGGTCTCCCTGGAGTCTGGTCTTCTCCAGGCTGAACAACTCCAGCTTTCACAGCTTGCCTTCAGAGGAGAGTCATCTAAGCCCTCTGATCATCTTCATGGCCCTCCTCTAGGCATGTTCCAACAGGTTCATGTCTTCACAGTACTGAGGACCCCAGACTTTGACAAAGTACTCTAGAATCTCATGGGAGCAGAGCAGAGGGGTAGAATCACCTCCCTTGCCCTGTTGACCACACTCCTTTTATACAGACCACCATAAAACTGGCTTTCTGGGCTGCAAGCAGATATGGCCACCTCATTTCCACCATTTTGTCTACTGCTATCTCGAAGTCCTTCTCCAGAAAGCTGCTGGAAATTCACCAGTTCATTCAGTCTGCATTGATATCACGCATTGCCTTGACCCAGGTGCAGGACCTCAAGCATATCATGTCTTAATACTGTATTCCGTAAGGAAAGAAGTGATTCTCCATTTGTTTCTATATTTATCCTGTTTCTATCATTTTATCCTGAAAGAACATTGGGAATTTATCACAATTCCAGATATGGACCTCTCATAAAAGCAATTGACCTTTAATTCACTTTGTTCGATTTCTCTCAGGACATAATTTTTAATACCTGTCATTAAAAAATACAGTAAAATACAAATACTATTAAATTAAATACTTGAGCATATCAGTCATGTAAGAAAGAACTGAGATCAGTGTCTTTAAAATGAAATCTACTGATGTAAAGAAGCACCCAGCCTAAAGCATTTCAACTGGCAACTGAGTTCCTAAATGCCGATAGGTGTAAATCACCTTAATTCAGAATATACTTTTTCTTAATCAAGATAACTTTGAACGTTATGGAGCATTTTTTATTGTCTGAATTGTCATTTGTGTTAGGAATCAGAATACTTTCAAAGACAAACTTCTTAACATAAACTACTCTTCTTCATTACCAAATGTCAGTAGTCACACTATATTACGTTTTTGTTCTCCAGATTAAACTTTCTGGCAAAACAAGGAGGTTTCACATAAGAAATATGTATTTGTCAGATTGCCATAGAAAGTGTTTCCTGTTTTATGTATAGCAATCTGAGCCTTTTTTAATGTGCAGATATTTTTGAAAACCTAGCTAAGGATTAATAAACTGCACTTAACAAAATTTTGTATGTTGAAGTGAGTTGGAATTTGATGGATGAGGGCTTTTAATCTGAAATAATAGTAAACAGATATGTTAATGAAACAGTTTTTTTTTTTCTGTATGGTGGTGAAGTACATGTCTTGCAAAATGAAGTCCAATTCCCTGTCCAGAAACACTGCTCAAGTCAAAAGGGATGTGATTCATAGGCAGATGAGAAAACTCTCCTTTTCTGTCTTACCACAAAATGTATCTGTGCTTGTTACAGCTTTGTAGTTACAGCTGTCCCAAGAGCTGGGGAGTGGATAACTGAGCTGTATGATTCAGTCTCTCCCTTCAGTCCTGCTGCGCTGAGCACAGAGGGGAACTTTCCACCCTAATTCATCTTCTGTATTGGCAGGTTTCTCACGTAATAAACTGTCCCCAACCACTCTGTGGTTTGGTTGTTTTATTGGGTTTTTTTTACCCTTGTCTTTTTCTCTCCTTCATGTTTTTGCAGAGTAGTCCCAAGTTCTTAGTTCCCTTTCTTTCTTGTTTGGCTCTGGCAGGTGAGAAGCCAGGGACGGAGCAAGATGAAGTTAAGCTGCAGAACGCCAGCAAGCAGATTGTGCAGACTGCTATCCTCCGAGCAGTGCAGCAAGTTTCCCAGGAGAGCCAGCAAAAGGAGAAGCGAGCAAACAGTACAAGCCTCCAGCTCGAAAGAGGAAAACTAACCAAGAAACATGAAAAGAAGTAAAGGAGCAGATTGGGTTTTTCAGTCCTCCAGTCTGCAGTTTTCAGCCTTCTCTTTAGTATCAGCTGTATTGCTAGTGCAATGCTACTGTTGTAAAGCAAACCAAAGTATTATCACACCTAGACATAGGGTAAAACTGCAATAGTCCTCAGCTGAGAAATATTAAGTGCATTAGATGAATAACTTCATATTTATGCAGTGCCTCTTAACAGAAAAAATAACCATAGTTATAAAAGTAGTTTCAAGCACAAACTCTTACAGTATGAACTTATTCTCAAAAGCTTGTTGTCAGTTCACTTTCATGTTAAGTTCTGTGTGCAACAATTATGTCAGTTCAGCTGGATGGACTCTACTCTGAGTGACTGGGTTCACTGAAGTTGTCTTCGCCGAAGAAATAGTTTACTGTCAAGGATAGCAGAATGATTTCAGACTCCCTTGAAGCCCGGGTTTGTACTTTGCTTTGATAAGACATGAGCTATATGAAATGGCAGTATAAAGTGGATTTGGTAAGTTCTGTGAACCAATTTTTTTTTTCATCTTGGAAAAAAAAAGAGCAATCCAGTAAGACTGCAGTAACTGTGATCTATTACTCTGATCATACACCTATGATCTCTGTCTTTTTTTAAAGAAGTTAAAATAAGTACTGAAGTTTTACTCTACTTATTTGAAACACTTCTATACTTCTGCATAAAAATCACTTGTGCCTCAACTAGTCCTTTTAATTTTCTTGATACTGAAAGAAGAGAAACTGATGCAATGATAAGGAGTTTGCCAATGTATTCTTCAGTTTCTCAGCTTTGCTGGGGCTTTATTTACAAGACTGGAGTGTCTTAAAAAAAGGGGTTGAATTTATTAGTATCTTGAAGGATGAAAATATACTGTGTCTGAATTCTGTCATGGTAGATATTTCTCACCTGCTATGCGTAAAGTGACTTCACATATTTGCAATAGTAACATAGATTCACCTTAAATAGCACTGCATTAAGCTGGTAATACAGAGCTTACCCTTTTAAGTGCTCTATGTAGCTGAAGCAATCCATGATGTTTCAGAAAATACAAATTAAATAAATGTCCCCTTCACTTTTATGCTCCCTTTCGGTAATGATGATTGTGCTATTACAAGTCTGAAATGAATAACTGTATATTTAATTCTAGAAATGGCTTGTAGCTCTGCTTCGGCTGAATTCCTGTAGTAATACACCTAGAAATATAGAGAAGCAGATGCTCTGCAAAACTGTGAACTGCTTTTCTACTCAGCTAAGTGATTCTCGAAGAGACTGTGGGTTAAGCAATTGGCTATTACTTACTGTGTCCTGTTGCTTGTGTTAAACAATTTTGGATTCATCATGGCCAGAGGCTTAGCCATAAATAACCACATACTGTAAAATTAAGTTTTTTAATTGGCCTGGTTTCTCTCTTTTTTTTTTTTTTTTTTTAACTTAACAGTACCAACTCATACAAGATAATAATTTAGCTGAATCTTCTTTCACTTAAAAATTAAAAGATTTCAATATAATTAAATTTTTTTCAAATCATCCAATAATGAAAACTGACTTGGATTACAAGTACACAGGTGGTTCAGTTCTATAGACACTGGGTGAATGTTTGTAGCCAAGCAAACTTTGAAAGGTTAAAGTGATTGGGTCTTGGGAAGTAACTCTTTTCTAAGTACTCTTTGCATCTTTGCTTTCTGAGAGCCTAAGAAAACTGATCATGAGTAAAGGTTTAATACTGAGTCTGACAAGCAGGCAAGTCCAGTGGGTGAGAGAGAGCAAACCTTTTGGAGAGACTCTGTGGTGCAAAATGGTGTTTAACATGGACTCACCTACAATGCTGCAGGAAGGAGAGATATCAAACATATCAACTTCTTTGAAATTACTCTACTCCTTAATGTTTTTTGTCACTATAAATTTGAAATATGTTTGTGTTGGGTTTTTTTTTTTTGTTCCTGGTAATTATGTTAATAATCTTCATGTAATTTTAAAACTTGTTTGTATGTAAACTTTTTTTTAATTAATCATTTTAGAGAAAGAATAATTTCAAAAGCCAATGAGTCCAGGCTTTTGATACTACTTTATATCACCCTATTCCACTCCTGCTCCCACTCCTCCCACTATACTGTTATACAATATCCCTTTACTGTCCTAGTCCTTTTTGACACACTATTACTCAACCATTTAACAGTCATGTCCACCACTACCAGAATGCCAACGCCGTCAGAAGTCCAACATCTTGGAAAACTAAAAATGGTAGGAAGCCTAGCAAAGCCTTGAGGAAGTTTTCTGTGGTTTCCTACTGAGGACAAACAAATACTGCACCTTAAACAGTGTAGTTTTCCCTGAGAGCCAAATGTTGTGTCTCCACTCTAAAGTAATACACCCCTAAGTTACAGGACGCCTTTAGTATTTCCTACTGACAACCAATGTTCTGCACACCACTTGCATCCAGGATATGCACCTGAGGTTTGTACCACGTGTGAGAAAACTGCACAGAAGTAAGCTTCGCCCTTGGTTCATTATATGCTTACTACATGATGAAAGTGGGTATTCTTTGGTATTATCTTCACTGACAGGTTATATTTTCTGGAGAAAATACAGATTTTAGAAATTATTACCAATGCCATGTAGGTCTTTCTACAAATAAAAAAGAACTCCTAAAGAAACTCTTAGTACCTTACATGACTCTAGTTTTTCCTGTCAGAAGAGGGGAAGCAATTTTCAGATTCACTAGACAATCTCATGGGGCAAACTGTTCTCATGAGATTTGCAGTAATGAATGCGTTATTCAGCACAATAATTCATATCTTAGAAGTAAGAGACAATCAAAATGGTATCTATAGGTATTTAAAACAAACTCACCACATTTTAGCACTTATAGTGGTAAGTAGAAGGTTGCACAACTATGTGAAATTGTATTTACCACAACTCCAAAATAACAGAAGAATTGTGTTTCTGTGGCTATCCTGCACTATATTTGCTATGTTTTCATTCAGTTTGATTATCACAATTATATTACCTTACTTGTGCTATTCTTTGTAAGGTTAATCAAGCAGCAATGCTGAAATGGAAATTCACGTGGCCACAGCAGAATGTTGTAAGAGATTTCTAAATGCCATTGTACATCAAGTTTTTTGGTTCCATGTGGTTATACTGGAAATCCCTGCTCTAAAATAAATAAAACCAACAACTGTGACTTGGAAACAGCCATATTAATTTTATCATTTCAGAAAAATAAAAGCATTTTGTCATAATATTTAAGAGTTGAAAATTCTTGGATATTTATTCAATAGCAAACAAACACTAAAAATCTTACTGTCTCTATGTTGTGTCTGATTATTTTGGTTTTTTGGTGACATTTTTTAAATGTCTCAGCATGTAGTCTGTCTACACTGGTAAGTATATAAAATTGATATGTAACTATTCTCAATGTAACTATCATGAAATATGATGCAGTTGTTCTTTAAATGGGTACTAATGTCAAATGCAGGCATTAATGTGTCATTACTGAAGGCTTTTCTAAAAGAAGTTTAATTTTGAGTAGGGGAAAAGATAAGAGAAAGTAGAATAAATTCTTGAATTATGTGGGATTCACCCTAAGTCTCTTGGTTATCCACTCAGGTCTGAAAAGAAAGTAAATTAATGAAAACCTGATTTTTGACATAACCTGATTTCTCTCAGTGGGTTTCTGCAACACAGGGATCAAGTTGTTAAAAGAGCTGTGGGAGTGAGGAGGAAAACTCGAGTTGTTGGTAAATATCTTCTTCACCTGATACTCAGGAAGGAGTGAGTAGCAGTACTGATGGAGCCTGGTTTCTAATGGATGGGGTTTCTCATCATAGGCTTTTGGTGCCTCATGATAAGCTCTGGCAGAATCTTCTTCACTATTTTGGGTTTTCCAGAACAAAGGGGGTCTCTGAGGCCTAATAGTTTTCAATTTGTGTGTCTCCTGCTGTGTCAAAAGAAGTAGAAATAAGGTCTCTATTCTCTACTTCCAGAGCTTCATTCACAAAACCTGGTGGATACACATGGGATTTTGTTTCTAAAGACCACTGTGCCTTCCCTGGATTTAGTCAACTTGCCCAGCAATTACTTTAATCCTTAAAACTGAATGCATGAGTGCACATACTAGCATATTAGTGTTTGAGTGCTCCAGGGAACATCAAGAAATAGATACGTATTTTAAATCTATTTGCTTCTAAGCTGTTCTTGTCTGCCAAGCAGATTTTTTTTTTTGTTTAATTAACATAAGCAGCTTTTCTTTTCTAATAACTTTTCCTCCAGTGACTTGCTACTTGGATTTTGTTATATGAGATTGCTAGTTTTAACACTAAAACAACAATAGTTCATGTTTAGCGTGGGTTTGATTAGAACACCTCTGGTGTTACACGTTACCTTGTGGTGTGGCTTTTGTCTTTCTGTTTACTAAAGGTGAGTAACAACAATAAATGATGTTCTAAAGGCAAGGAAGTTTGTTGGGGAGGGGAGGACTCTAGTTGCGGTGGGGGTTTTGTGAGGGTTTTTTTCCCTCAGTTGCCTCTAGCAGGAGGCCAGAGGCCACGTGGGGCAAATCATCATGAATCATTGACACACGCTATGACAGTAGCTCAATGTAGAACTTGTACAGAAAGAGAGAAAATTAACTCTTATGAAAGATGGAAACTGAACCCAGCTATTCAAAGCTGAACTGAGCTGATTCTAAAGTGTTACAGTAAGGCACTCCTGGTAGCTTTAAGGAAAATATTCCATGAGTGCTTTGAGAGTTGAACCCCATTTAGAAATACCAGATAGTGAAGACTGTAATTGCTTGCTTTGTTATATGAGGTGGAAAATGAGCACTACTGTATTGTTCTGAAGACTTAAGTGCTACCTTCTTTTGTCTATGGAAAAGTTTGAATTGTGTCTTTTGACACAGTAACGCATTTGCCCCTGCCCTATGGAGCAAATAGCTGCTCTTCTCTGTGCACATGCATCCCAGAAGGTTTATACCCTGTGTCCAGTTGCTATAGTAGATACCCTTGCCCTGTATTCACTTAGTAAACATAGCTCCTACTGATGATGTTCCCCCTCATTTCTTTCCCATGAAGCAGCTCATTCTAAAAATCCTCAGCTACAAGATGAAATATGAAAGCCATCTGCTTCCTAATGGAGAGAGTGAATATAATAAATCTTCTTTACCTCATTGGTGGGATATTGACCCTTTCCCACAGAAGTATTTATTTCCAAGGAAGACAACTCTGTTAGCCAGTGCTTCCCTGCTATGTCTTGCTGAGGGATTACCCATAAAGCAGTGATCTTCAGTATTTCCTTCCAAGACAAAACCTGCTCCTGGGACACAGTTTGTCCTGACTTGTCACAGTTTTTAGCTCCAGCTGACTTCTGCTGGCCACATACCTGATTTGTATTTTACCCACTATAGTAGAACAGGAGACTTTCAGGTCTGACATCTACATTGCTGAGGATCTTGGTACTCCACCAGCTGAAGAAGTTTATATGTGTGCAGTCCAGTAACCTTAAGTAAAACTTTTTGTCAGATCTTATATTTCCTCCCATCATATTTCCTGGAATTATAGGTACTTTTCTACAACCCCTTTGTTTTACTGAGCATTAGACTTGCTAAATCTAAAAGCAGGAACAAGGAGTCTTGTTGTCCTCCTCTATTTAGGTCACTGAAACCTGTAGGGAGTGACAGAGCTGCACTGGTTGCGTAAATTACACTCTCAGTGATTGCTTTTGTGGCTCTTCTCCTGACCTTGTATTTCTTTATTTTCATGTATTCATGTTTTTGTTTCCAGACAGGAGCTCCACAAAACAGATATCTGAGATACCAGAAGTGCAAAGACACAGTGTGTCCTTGCATCATCCTTAAGTTTATTGTTTTTCGTATTCAAGGAATGATTGGATGTGGCACTTAATGCCATGGTCTAGTTAACAAGGTGATGATCAGTCAAAGCTTGGACTTGATGATCTCAGAGGTCTTTTCCAACACATTTCATTCTGTGAAATCAGTCCCATGGCATGCATTCTTCTGGTAATTAGCTGAAAGGACACAGGGCTTGAAATCTCTTTTTTTCCGCAGCATTTGAGAC